GGTTGATATTAGTAGCCCACTTGAATGATAAAGCCCAATGTATCAAACATGGCTGGGCCATTCAGAATTTGTCCAACCTTATCCAAATAAAAAAACAAAAAAGTAAAAGCCCCAGTAAATAAGTGCCAAGTCAGCAACAGTATCCAAGTGTATCCAAAGCTGGCGTTAGCCACAGATTGCTGATGTGGCTCTGGTTTCACATGCTTCATATCACAGAGAGCCATGGAATTAATTTGTTGAGATCATTCCTCATTCACAAGAATCAAGAAAAATGGCATCAATGGCTACCTTACCTCAGTTCACTGGACTAAGACCCCAGCTCTCCCCCGCCCCAATTCGATCCTTAGTTCGGCCTTCTTTCATTTTTTCTTCAATTCATCGAATCTGGTTCATACATGCAGCTTTTACCTAACTTTACTCAGTGGTGCAGGCTACAGTTCAGCCATTAAGGAATAAGAGCAAGGGTGCTTTGGGTGTCCGATGTGGCTTCATTGGTTCTCCCACCAATTTGGTAAGATTAATGTTCTCACTAACAATAATGTTTAACTAAACGAATTATACATTTAAGTTGGAAATCTCACGTTGAAACTGTTTGACAGATAATGGTGACAAGCACAAGCCTAATGCTGTTTGCGGGGAGATTTGGGCTAGCTCCATCTGCAAACAGGAAGGCAACTGCCGGATTGAAGCTGGAAGTAAGGGATTCCGGGCTGCAGACTGATGATCCGGCTGGTTTTACACTTGCGGACACCTTGGCATGTGGCACTGTTGGTCACATTATTGGTGTTGGGGTTGTTCTTGGACTGAAGAATATGGGTCTTCTGTAAACAAATTTCTATTTGGTCCATCAAAGTGTTTATGTTGATATGTTGTAAAGACATTTCCATTTGGTTCATCAAACTGTTAATGCCAATTTTTAATCTCTCCAAAAGGTCTAAAGGAATACTGATTATTGAAGGGAAGGAGGAACAAAATGCATTCAAAAAAGTATTTTTATTTATTTATTTATTTTATTTTCTGGTAGAGAAAAAAGAAAAAAAATTATACATGGCCACAGGGATTGAAATTTGTTGATTTGGTGTTGTTATAAAGTGGAGTGATTGTTGCTTTTCTAGTATTATACTATAACCAAAACTGCATTATTGTTTAATAATTATTTTAAAAATAACATTATATACTAAAATTATCAATAAATTATATAAAATATTTATTAAAATTAATTTAATTATAATAAATTAATATTCATAAAAAAAATTATAATAAATTATTATCTTTTACACATTTGTAGCACTATCACTCATTAAAGTTTCATGAAATGAACAAAAGTTATTGTTGCTTTTCTAGTATTATACTATAACCAAAACTGCATTATTGTTTAATAATTATTTTAAAAATAATATTATATACTAAAATTATCAATAAA